ATAGACGACATGCTATACATATAAAAATATTATCTCAATCCCATCTAAAACCTATAAATACCCTTGTACGCTAACTCGTTAGTCAGTTCCTGCGTTCCTGCTATCTCAAATACCTTATCTATAACAACCATATCATTGTTAGCCTGTAACTTGTATCTCAATAAAATCCTTTATACCTTCCATCATCGTCTACCTTAAAATACTTTACGCTACTTAAAGAAGATATTATTACACAACTACGATAAAAGAGCACCGACATAGCTAAGAGAATCTTATTAGATTTGTTTTTATACGATCTAATTCATAATTTAATAAACCAGAGGTTCAAAATTTGGATAGAAAAGCAAGTTCACACCGTTACTAGAAAAAGGCATAAAGATGTTATAATATTATACGAGATATCTCGTACATGGCTAACTGTAGCCAATGTTTAATGAATGAGTTGCCGTTGTTATTATCAACCTATCCATGATTGTAGCTATAATAGTGGATTCAGGACTTGGATTGTACGTGTATTTTTTAGTTACATACATTCCCTATTCACTTACAAAAATGTTACTGAATTGAGAGCATTTAAGACAACATTGACTACGGTCGCTTAATTAATGAGCTAATCTAGCATACAAGTGTAAGGTGTTTGCTAGTGAAGGCTATTAAATACATTTTCGTAGCTTAAAACAACAGTTTTACATCGTAGTAAAACATTGAAAAATCTGCAAGAAAATGCGTACAGAGACATTGAAAAATGGATACATTTTCAAACACAATTGCGAATAATCTATTGAGTGCTAAGGCCTTATGATTAGCTATCCTAATACATAAAGAATGTACTGTATATGTCTTCCATCCATTATAAAATTAACTTTTGTCTATAGTATAATATTAATCATATGAAGTAGAACTAAGCTCATATACTTGAATATGAAGGAAAATAAGGGCAATCCAGATTGAGCACAAGTTAGAACGCTATTAATAGGTTACAGTTTTGGAGTCAGTTTAAAGCATAACTTGAAAGCTTCCTGTGGTATATCATAATGCCAGTTGTCATGGGTAATCGTCAGTGCTCCAACTCGACCTATTTCATCAGAAGATTTTGCAGCGTATCCATTGCCACCACTTAATAACACCATATTTTCAGTTATTTTATCAATCATGACATGGCTATGTGGTGTAATTGTATAAGCACAACCATCAGGTTTTATGGACACTGGCTTAAATCCGGGTAGAACACTGAGCATTGCTTTAGTTAATATATCTGTAGTTTTAGGATCACCGTGGCCATGAAACCACTTAAGTACGTCCTTATGAGTAGGCATTATTTTAATTAAATCACCGCCATGACCGATTTTTAGATAATATTGACCGTCTGGATAAAGAACTGGAGGCAATGAATACCAGTATTGCATCGGATCTTCTGGGCATAGATATACCATACATGGCATGTTGCTATAACGCTGTCTGTCAGCAGCATTGACTTGTAATTTAACTACAGTTTGTGTGCCACATTGAATGTCTAACCGTTGGCGAATGTCATCCGGTATAATTTCTTTAAATAAGGTAAAGGCTCCCGTTGCTACTACGATTTTACGACTGGTGATAACTTTATTGGTTTCGGTGATGATTATATAATCGCCGTCGTTATTTCTACTGACCTTATTGACAATCTCTCGAACGAGAGTACAGCCATTATCAGTAGCTGCTTTTATTTCCGCTTCTACTTGGCCACGAGGAGAGATATAACCAGCATCAGTGGACTCATATAATCCAATAAAGTGATGAGGAACTTGTAAGTAAGGAAATCGTCGTTTTAACTCAGTATAACTTAATTGTTCGTAGTTAAACCCAATCATTTCTGCTACTTTGTTGATTTGAGCAATTTTAGGATCATCTTTGGATCCAAGGACAAGAAATCCACGTTCATGATAGTATTGGACACCAGTAGCTTTCTCCAATTGTCGATAACGTGGTATCGATCGATTAGCTAATTGGCACCATACCGGATCTGCATCGAGATGTCTAGTAATTCTACCTTGATCATAATATGCAGCGAAAACACTTCGACCACTCTGATGGCGTGGTACTGTTGGCTCATCAGGGCCGACAAGGCATATTTTACCCTTGTAAATTTGGGTTAAATGGCGTGCACAAGCAGATCCCATGGATCCAGCACCAATGACAGTGATATCGTAGTGACCAAGTGTGTTGTGACGATCTCCCATTTTGATTAAGTGGTCCAGGGTTTAATTTTAAATTAATGCTTGCTGTCAGACACTGTCAATAGATGGTAAAATGGAGACTAATAATCACCGTTTCTACCACACTTGTAGCAACAATTGAAGGAGAAATAGCTGAACAAGCTAAGCGCTACTAGGACAACAGTCTAGTGTAACTGAGTAAGAAATGCTTGCTGTACTTCTACAATGTTCGCTGTGTTGTTCAAGTTGTTGTCTCCGATAGGCAATTGTCCCAACGTTAGTTGTAACCGCTTGAAGAAGTTTCTCACCAAGCCCAACGCCACTTCGACAACAGTTTACTGTCACTGAATACTGTAATACTTGGCGTAGCTCAACGATGTTAGCTATGCCTAGCTATCGACACCGTCTTGTAGCAACCACTTGAAGAAGAAGTAGAAGCAATATTTCAGCAAGCCTAACGCTACCAAGTCTAGCGATAGAACAGTAATAGCTGTCTATTTGCTAGAACAGCTAAAATGATGAAATCCGTATGGTATTATACTAATCATTTATGGGTGTTTACTGCATAATATAATAAAACGTATGGAAGAAACGAATGCTTGGTCCCTATGCAATGTATTGCAAATAAGGGATAATAGAGTGCACTCTATGTTTTAATGAAAGCACTATGCAAATTAATTAAAGCACTATGCAAATCATGAAAAGTATTGAACTGAATGTGAAATATTCAATACGTAGCTCCAAATGAATAAATTACTATGCAGGAATAAACCAACTGAAAGATGTCAATTAAGAATGAGTTATTTTATTTAATGATTTTGTAAAATGCCTAGCGATTTTTGAATAAACACGGTAGCATTATTATTAGCTTTGCATTGCAGGGGTAGAGTACAGGATTAGCTACTACTGCAGCTAGATACTCAGATCGAATCAGGTTCAACTCGTATTTTACTACCTAGAGCGGCTCTTAAACTGTAGATTAGTCATCGATCAGTTATAACGATATTATTTTCTTTGGCATTTGTGTGTTATATTCGATATGGCTTAAAAACTAATTACCTGAACCCTTAGTAGCCTTCCAATGTAAAAAATTGTAGTTGAAACTCCTATAATTGTATAAATTGGTTGAATCAGGTTCAGTTCGTATTTTACTGCCTAGAGCTGCTCTTAAACTGTAAATTAATCATCGATCAGTTATGACAAGATTATTTTCTCCTGCATTTCAGCCTTCCAATGCAGAAGTTGTAGTGAAGACTCTCATAATTGATTGATCAGGTTCAGCTCCTATTTTACTACCTAGGATTGCTCTTAATTAGTAGATTAATCATCGATCAGTTATGATGACATCATTTTCTCTGATAATTGGATGTTAAAGTCGTTATGGCTTAAGAACTGCCCGAACTCTTATCAGACTTCCAATGCTGTAGTAATATGTTAGTTAAGGCTCCTATAATTAATCCTGTAATTGGTTGATCAGCTTCTGGTCATAATTTACTACCTAAAGCTGCTTTTAAACTATAGATTATTCATCGATTCATTATGACGATATCATTTTCTTCGGCATTTGTGCCTTAAGAGTCGTTACGGCTTAAAAACGAACTACTTGGACTCTTCATCAGCCTTCCAATACGAAAGCACTGTGTAGAATTTGTAGATCAGGTTCAGCTCATATTTTCATTACCTACAGCTGCTTTTAAACTGTAGATGAATCAGCCACGGCAATATTATATTCTCCGGAATTTTGTCTGTTAATTAAAGTTGTATTAAAGTCTTAATCCAATAACATTAGCCGATAGCTTTGACGCTCCTAATTTTAATTTATTCCATACACCTAGTTGCAGATTCGATGGATTACAATTATTATCAGAAACTATCATTCTTGCCCAAACATCCTCCATATGAGCCAAAATCATCCGTATAGCTGTAATAAATGTGTCTCACAATAACTGTCTTAGTCAATGGTATTTTCTAAAAGCTTTAGTACAACGTTTTAGAAATAGTAGAGCAATAATTGATTACTACAAGAATCTAATCTACAATCTAAAGTATTCCGAGCCGAAAGTGAAGTAAAGTCTCTTCTCTCTCTGAAATAATTTCATAAAACCCATTTATGACAACTTAATTAATCTACAATCAGATATGAGTCATCAAATAGAATACTTTTCTTGAAATAGAACATCATTATCTTCTCCAAACTGAAGCATTCTACTTAAGATATCACTACTCTTCTATCAATGTCCAGCACCTTTCGGTGTTGGGCATCTTCACAATGACAGTGCTCTAGTCATATGAATAGTCAACTGGCTAATATTAGTCATCAGAAATTTCGAATACAGTAGTTATCAATCATCTAATATTAGCTTTACGATAATATCTATTCTTAGTAACCTAACTGTATCAAATATAGCAATTAACACAATCAAGTATAGCTATCCTTATAATCAAATATGGGGCACATCACTACAACGGCATCGTACAAATTACCGCGTATCCATTATTTTTGGCTACTTAAATGGATCATGAGGGAATAGGAACATTAAATTGATAAATCTAGAGACAAACTGATGACTTACGCACGAATATCATAGTCCGCGAAATACAACGTGTATCTGTACTTTAGTAAAGGGTACTAAGCTCATTACCGTGGGTTAAATTAAGATAACTAATTTAAATAGCATTGATCAATTATTAATGCATCGCTGTACTTTATTATCTGGAGGCTAAATTATTTAGTCAATCTAACGATAGCCAAAGTTAATAAAAATAATTTAAGCATTATTTAGTTATCAATTATATAATTATCATATTACAATCCTGCAAAGAGATTTAAAGAATAATAATACACAACACTACACTGTATGATAGTTTCAAGTATAATTTAAATTGTTTACCGTAAATATCGAAATCCAAGATTTATTCATGATTACTTAAGGTTAAATTAGGTAGTCAATTTAACGATAATTATGGTTGATAAATTAGAGTAATTTAATCTATATTTATCAATTACCATATTATAACCCTATAAAAAGATGACCTATTAAAAAAGTGATACACAACACATCATGCTTTCAAGTATAACTAGTGCAAACTCCCGTCGCTTTACTGACGGTTTACGATAATGTGCTCATTTAACAGAGGTTCAGTAACTATCAGATCGCTGACTAACGAACATTATCCTCTTAGAAATACTTTTTGTAATATGATATATAGCAATCAAAAATAACCGGGACAGGGGAACTATAGTAGGGTAACACTACGAATTGCAAGAGAGCAATAGAACTCAGAGTACCTACTGATGTGTATCAATCACTTTTCAAATTTCGTTAAGTAACTTTCGTATTAGTATGTTTACCAAATAAGGATGGTTACTATATACAGTATAGAAATCAAAAGTAATTGGGACAGGGGAACTACAGTAGGATAACACTACGAATTGCAAGAGAGCAATAGAACTAATAGTACCTACTGATGTGTATCAATCACTTCTACCTTCTCAATAATATTTACATAAATCCTAGAGATCATTCATTTCTATACCAATTCAAATTTCGTTAAGTAACTTTCATATTAGTAATCGGGACAGGGGAACTACAGTAGGATAACACTACGAATTGTAAGAGAGCAATAGAACTAATAGTACCTACTGATGTGTATCAATCACTTCTACCTTCTCAATAATATTTACATAAACCCTACAGATCATTCATTTCTATACCAATTAAGTACTTTCGTATTAGTATGTTTACTGAATAAGGATGGTTACTATATACGGTATTAATGCTATGTTAAGGTTGGTGAGCGAAACTTTCAAATATACGTTTATGGTCAATTTGTTAATAAAATTAACAGATAGTATTATCATTCGATATTATATATATCCTAGTAACAGTAATATACTATGCTATATTAAGATTAGTTAATGGTCCAGAGCACATTATGATAACTAATGTACGGTGATGGACATACCAAGTTAAGATTAGCAGGTACTGTAAGATATCTACAGTGCGGTAGAATGTCCTTCGTACTGTGGTCAATTCTATACCAATCATTATAATGTGTCTAAGGATCGCTGTCGTATGCAAGCAAAGCTTGCTCTGTCGATAACAACCGTTATAAGAAAATGTAACAATCAAAATGGCTGTATAGAAAACTCTATAAAGATTCTATGTTTATTCAATTTTCATCAGAATATTACATGAAATCAAAATTTAAAGGCCCAGTGGCCACCCTTAGCGATATAACGAATACTATTTTAATAATCAGTACTCTGCAGAAATTACTACCTTAGAGCTATTCGTTTTACATGAAGAAATCTTGAGGTTAAAAGTACTGTAAGAATCTTATACTGACCTATTGAAATGAACCCATAATCAGAGTCATTTAACAGTAGTATAAATACCCCCGCGCTGCTCATTTCAAGGAAGGGTGGGTGGGATTACTACTCCTCGCTAGAAATGTCGTAATTCTAAGAGTCATTGATGATAACTTAAGGTTAAATTAGGCAATCAATTTAACGATAGCTAAAGTTGGTAAAGTGAGCAAATCCAAGGTTCAATAATCTTTATCGATTATCTATTATAATCCTACAAGAAGATGACAAATTAAGAGAAAATACTTATATACGACACATCATGATGAGTTCAAGCATAATTTAAACTCTTCACTGGAAATATCATAATTCCACGATTCATTCATGATTGTTAAAGCACCAATTCTGCCAAGTTCATCTGCGGATTTAGCTGCATGACCATTACCACCAGTTAGTAACACCATACCTTCTGCGATGTTACCAATCATAACATGATTATGAGGGGTAAGAGTATAAGCACAACAATCTGATTCTATAGAAACTGGCTTAAAGTGGGGCAGAAAGTGATTTATGATGTCGACTAAAGTGTTTTTTGCTTCAACATCACCAGTGCCATGAAACCATTCTAATACATGCTCATAATTGTTTATTTCGCGAATAAAATCTTTGCTATGGCCAATTTTAATGTAATATTTGCCGTTGGGATAAAGAATTGGTGGCAACAAGTACCAATCTCCATTCTGTTGACTAGAGTTGCGGTGTAGAATACATGGCATACCAGTATAATCTTTTAACTCGTCTTCACTTACTTGTAATTTTACTACAGTTTGAGTACCACATGTAATAGCCAACTTTTTACGAATATCGGTTGGTATGATGTCTTTAAATAATGTAAAAGCACCTGTTGCGACTACAATCTTTTGGCTGCTTATAACCCGATTGGATTCCGTTGTAATAATAAATTTTCCATCTTGACTTCGTTGAACTTGATAAACAATATCTCTGATTAATTGGCATCCATTATCCATAGCAGCTTTTATTTCTGCCTTGACTTGACCTCGAGGAGAAATATAACCTGCAGAATTGGCTTCATAAAATCCGATATAATCATCGGCGAGATGAAGATAAGGGAATCTAGACTTTAAGTCCTTATTATTTAATCGATTGTAATTAATTTGCAAGTCTTTAGCACACTTTTCGATTTTTCCCCAAATGATATCCTGTTTGGGTCCAATGATGATCGATCCAACTTCACTATAATATTGAATACCGGTTGATTCTTGCAGATGTGGATAACGTGAAATGGAGCGATCTGCTATTCTTGACCAAACAGGATCAGTATCTAAACGTCGTGTAATTCTTCCTTGGTCATAATAAGCAGCGAAAACGCTGCGACCGCTTTGACTACGAGGTAAAGTGGGCTCATCAGGGCCAATAAGGCAAACTTTCTTTCCCTTGTAACATTCGGCTAAATGGCGTGCACAAGCAGATCCCATGCAGCCAGCTCCAATCACTGCAATATCATAGCTATTCTCTTCATTTTTTTCCATCTTCCGTCTCTGCACTATACTATTACTTCTATTCGAACAATCATACACATAACAATCTTATGATAATTTGGATTGGATACAAGAAATATCTTAACAAATCCCTTGTACTATCTAGACTGTTACGAAATGCTAATTCTCGTATCTTATTCACATTAAATCAGCTTAATATGTGCAAGCATTTCCAACCAATCTTGTAGGAACATAACTTAAGCACATGAGTTATTTTATAAAGCTAGAATAGCCCTTACACGTTCCATGGCTTTCGTTCTATTACTTTTACTTGCTGTTCTAGTACTCTTAAATCCGTTAGTTTATCGCGATGAAATTGATTTGTTTACTGCATAAATTAAGTAAAACTTACAGGGCGTGGCAGTTGTAACATTCCGTTCTCGATGCTGTGTTACAGATCACAAGTGCTCATACAAATTGATATTACTGTATAATGCTGTGTGGCAATATATATAGCAATCTCTATCGTGCATACGCGAGCAGACTGCAGCATATAGTCCATCACGTTATCTAGTTGTACTCGTATAGATTACTTTTAGTCTCTGGAATCGATTAATTAATTATCATCTGGATGCTCATCGTTTCTAGAATAATTTGATATTAGCAAGTAAATTGAATGGAATAGTGCTAAGTATCAGTACTTGAGCTAATAATTAACCTACAGTACTGGATAGTAGCTGCTGACTGAAGATTCATCAAATTTCAATCTTGCGAAGCTCGAATACTTGCAATCGAATGATCGTCGGGTGACTACGTGTTATTAAGATTTAGCTGTTTAATTTTAAGAACACTGTTGCAACAATAATTGTGAATATTACAGTATTTTTATTGCTATTGTGCCCGTATAATAGTGCAATCTACAAAATCGGATATTAAATCGGTACTTTTGCAGTGCTGTAAACAAATAATCGGATCAAAAATTGATACTACTGTGCTGTGTTGTAACGTATAATCTTATCTAAAGTTTTCAATTTTATGGTGCTGCAACGATTATTGTAACCGTTATTTGTAGTACTATACGATACACACATTAATATAGACTCTGTAGAATCGCTTCTAAAATCAATATGGGGACAGATTTGGGCTCTTTCGATATTACTATCATAGGTGCTGGTTGCATTGGATCTGCTTGTGCACGACATTTAAGTCAACTTTGTGAGAAGAAAATTTGCTTGATAGGACCGGATGAACCCGATCATCCAAGATCACAAGATACTGAGCGCAGTGTATATGGAGCTCATTACGATGCTGGTAGAATTACACGAATTCTAGATCCTGATCTTGTATGGGCCAAGTTAGCTCAACGTTCCATACCACGCTATGTAGATGTAGAAGAAAAATCAAATATGCAATTTTATACTCCATCTGGATATTTAGGTGTCGTTGAAGAAGGAACTAGCTATATTGATAAAGTAAAGGAATGTGCCAAACTTTTGCAAGTCGAATTTGAATTGCTTGATCATCAGCAGCTCAAATCGAAATTTCCTTATTTTTCTTTCCCTCCCTCATGCGTTGGTATTTATCAACCAAGTCAAGGTGGCTACATTAATATTCGTCAACATGTTATTGCACAAATGATGATAGCTCAAAAACAAGGATGTACGTTAATTAAAGAAATTGTTGATAGGGTCGATCGAGATGATCGTGGCCAATTTAAAATTGTCACTGAAAAGGGAAATTATTTATATAGTGGTAAAGTGATTCTTGCTACAGGTGCTTTTACGCCCTTTAAAAAGTTATTACCAGATCCCCAAAAGCAATTGGATATTGAATTGATGAAAGAAACAGTAGTTAAACTACAAGTTAAAGATAAGGACTTGCAAGATATGAAGTCAATGCCAGCTGTCATCTATTTCACTGGCAAAGATGCTCGTTACGATTGCTATATCCTACCACCAATTCGTTATGATGATGGAAAATTTTATATTAAGATTGGTCATGGCTTGACTGGTTCTGACAAACTAGATGATCATCAGCAAGTTATTGAGTGGTATCGCAATGTTGAGTCTGACAATCTTGTGGAGGTCTTAGTAAAAACAATAAGTCGATTAATGCCAACATTTGAATATGGCTCTGTAGTTACTGACCATTGCGTTTCCACTCACACTCCTAGCAATCATGTCATGATTGGTGAAGTTAACGAAGGAGTTACTGTGTTAACTGGCGGTTGTTCTCATGCGGCTAAATCAGCAGACGAAATTGGGCATTTGGGTGCTTTAACAGCATTAAGTAATGATTGGTCTTACGATATTCCAAAGAGTGAATTTTCCGTTTATTTAAGCAGAATTAATTGCATCACAT